CATTAATGACTCTGGAATAGAGCAAAATCAATTGCTCTCCGAGCCCATTCCACTTCTTTCACCCTAGAGCTCTGATGTGAATACAAACATACAGACTAACAATACCAGCACGATTAGGTCATTTGCATTAACTGTTATAAAGAAAGGAATAACTAGATTTATTTTGTGCCATTTTATAGAACTGCAGACCTCCATCACCATGGTGATATCTAGGCAGAGAGCAAGATAGGGTGTTTGTTTATTTTTAAGTCTTTAGATATCTCATTAAAGTTTGTTCCTTCAGGGATTTTTAAACAAATAGAGAAATTGATTTCTAGATAGAGCCACATTTGCAGCACACCGTTCTAGCTCTTGGTTCAAATAGTATATAAGGTATGTTACCCAAGAAGGGATCCCTCACTTTGTATTGAAATTCAGACTTGAAAAAAATCCTTAACTATAATTAAGCAGCCTTTTCTTCTGCAGCGTGAAAGCACACCAGAATGAGTCATCACTTCTATATTTTTACCTACTGTTTCCTCCCCCATTTCACAGGAGTTCAACTAAACTGGTTCCAATACCTTTTCTGGAAGTTATATCAGGTACCAAAGTGAGGCAAAGGCATTATAGCATTCTACTAATACATGATGGCTAAAGTTTAGTCTTATTTTATGACTTTTGTTTCCTGTACCAGCATGCAACTAATTACTGCTCAGCTCCTCCTTAAAGTTACAGTGATAGGACTATCTGATTTCCCTCCCCTGCCATGACTAAGACTACTGCTCCTCAAAAAAAGACTGCAGCCTAGCCTATTTTAAATTCAGTACACAGGCATGTATACAAGCACCAGAATCTCTTTAGTATGATATCACCCAATTACCATTCCCCTAAACTAGCTTATGTTACCTTTACCCCTACAACAAGAAGTCCCAACACTCCTACAATCTCTATACTAGGGAATTTCGGGGGGGGGGGGGGAAATCCCACCACGACATATGAACTGGTGCCAAATCACTTCAGCAACTCACTGCATTGAAAGAAAAGGTGCCATTTTTAATAAGGTCTAGCCTCTCTCAGGACCATGACTAAATTCTGTGGACATTCCACTACCTCACCAGTCATTATCCAGTGACAATGCAATCAGAACCCATAATGGACTAGCACAGTTAAAGAAGTGCCCCCATAATGGTAATAGTAATGCATTATATGAATACCAAATTAAGAGGGGAACCCTCACTTTAATCTTTCCTTCACTTAACTCCGGGAGGAAGGCCTCTTTCTTCCATGAGGTATGCTAGAGAGTCTAGCTAGACTACTTCACAGCACTTTTTCTGTTAGGCCCCAAAGCTCAATAGGATTAAGGATAAGCTTATGTTCAGAAGAGTTTAACACATTTGTATTAGTTTAGAGTTTCCAGTTACTTAAATGTTTGTGTAACCTTAGTTTTGTTTTTGGTTGTTTAAAAAAAGGTTACATTTGACTCTTGAAACGGTATTCACCACTGAGCTTTTTAACCCATGTCTAAAGTTTTTAGCCTGCATCCACATACAGCCCCAATTATTTACATCCAGCTGTGCAGGGTTTGAAGATAGCTAATAGGTGGTGCTAGAGGGAATGAGGATCACATGTTCACAGATAGTCAGTGTCACACCCTTTAGTAAAGTGACAGGCTTTATTAAGAGAACCCAAGTTATTTATAAGTAAGGTTTGTTACTAAAATTATTCCAACTTCTCACATTCTCTATTTTCCATTTGAACCTGCTAATGGCCCCAGTTACGTGATCAGGCCAAACAGATTTATTGCTAAATATTGGATGTTTGTAGAACAAATTTACGCTGGAATTTGTTAACACAGTGTTAACTGTCATTCTAAAACCACATAGCCAGCTACTAGCAATAAACTTGCAGATAGTAGCTGAAAGGATTTTTGAATGTTACTGCAGTGTTTAAATGAGGTGTGGGGAGGCCTATGGGAGTCAATTTGTGCAGCTTTTCTGGCCAGCTGGAAGTCCTTGAGTAAACTGGTTTCAGCAGAATGGAGTCCAGGAACAAGCACAAGCTTAATTTATACCTTCCACAAAAGAGCTGGCACCTCTGGTGATGGGGCAACACAAGACATAGGTTAAAAGTCACTAAAACATGGGACCCATCTGATACTGAAAGACACCAATTACATATTCATCTTCATCACAAAAAAAATGAGGCTGAATTGTGGCAACTGGTGAGAGAAAATGGCTGTGACATACTCACAATAGATTATTATTCCCCTCCCCCTTTAAAAAATATAGTACAGGAATTCATTTTATGAATGATAGCAACATTTTATTCTTTAATCCATTGGCAACAACAGTACAAGCTCTCTCACCATTTTTCCAGTTTACCTTAGCCCACCCTTGGAATACACATTGCTAAAGATGGAAGGCCACTGCCCAATCACCTGCAAAAGTTAATAGCAAGACAGCCACCTGATCATAATGAAAGTTCCCTGATCAATTCTCCAAAGTCCAAAACACAAGGGCATCAAGTTCTTTGCCAATATATTCACTCTCCATGGCCATTCAGCCTTTGGCCTCTACCAACATAATATTAAATTGTTACACTGACATCAGTCCAATATGATTGGCACCACCAATTTATTTCACAGCTAAGTGGGCAACTTTTAGTCACTATTGACCTAAGCTGGATAAAACCTGACATAGCATGAGGAGGCTCCATATTTATTATTAAGCTAATAAGACTGAGTGGCACAAGAGGTTAAGATCCAAGAAATGGATTTTAAGACAACAAAGACATTTAAGGGTAACATTTTCAAGATTGCTCACATGATTTAGAAGCCTACAGGCCACTGAAAGGCAGGTAGGGACTTTTGAAAGTTTTACCCTAGGTGATTTATTGTAAGTGAACAAGAGCTGATACTTGACACTCTGGAATAGTTTCCTTCACCATCCCAATTCTCATATACTACATGTATGTATATTTGTTACAATTCATCTTTTTAAAATTCTGCTTAATCACTTATGTTTAGTATTCACTTTTATAGTTAGACTACAAAATCCTTAAATGTTCCAAGAGTCCATACAGCAACTTCAATACAGTTTCTTCTCCATAAATATTTGATACAAGTCAGAACAATTCTACTGAATCCAAAATGAGTCCTAGTTCAGGGTTCTCATAGCAGTGTGAACTCAGCTGCAGAAGTCAGGTGCAGTGTTAAAAAATCCTGCACAAGGAAAGCTGGAGGGGGTAAAGTCTTTATAACTTTCATTTCTATTTTTGTGCATGAAGAATGTCACATTTCCATCAAGAGTTAGTGGCAGAAAGGCAATAAACTGTATCACAACTTCAGCCCTTTTGAGTTTGATACATTTTCTACAAAAATACCTTAAACGTCTCTATGGTGTAACTACTCTCCAAAAACACCATTTAGGATCATTCATACTACTCTATATGGTAATAGCTTCAAAGAGGTATATGAAAACACTTTCTACATATTGCATTAACATCTAGGATTTTGTGGTTTGGAGAATCCACATTCTGTTTTTAAGGTCAATCTAGGTACCATAAACTGTACTGAAATTGTGACGGGTAGTGATGTTGTTTGCTACATAGCTAGAGTACCATGCACTATATTGTTTGTGCTTTGCTGACTTATGCTGGAATAAGACTGCAGATACTGTTCTCTTGGACCCACAAAGTTCAGTGGGAAAGTCATGAGGCCGTCCCAATAAGCAGGATGTTAAAAGCCATCCTTCATATGGAAAGCACATAATACAGAGCATTGACATTTGAATTAAAGTCTAATTTCTTACATCTAGAAAGACAGACACTTGAAACAAAGTGATGAGAAAGGGCAAAGAAAACAGCTGTGTGGCTGGACACTAAGGGCTAGATATAAACTAACTGAAAAAAGGAAATGTCAGGTTAGAGATGTGTCTGCATCTTTAATCCATCTCATAGTGTGAACACAGCAGAGGAAAGTGTGATTTTAGACACTGTGGGCTGTTTAATGCCTCAGCATAAGGTGAGTTGACAGAGTGACAGACTTTGGGTTAATTCTCTAACCCAGATGTGCCCCAAGTGCAGCATGAGGTTTGACTCATACAACATTCCTTTCCTCTGTATGTAATTGCAGGCTGTGAACACGGTTTGTCAGCAGCAGGCTTTTATTGCTGGAGAACTCAAGAAAAAAAAATCCTAGGCATTTTTCCAAATATACAAGTATTATAATCAGACATTTTGTTTTTGCACTGTCCAAGAAGTTGCAAGAAGACTGACCTTAGCCCTTCAGTTAACAAAGCAGACCTGAATACTGCAGTCTAGAGATGCTTCCTCCAAACTTGAGCTTCACTACATGCTTGAGTTACTTTAAGTCAAACAGGGGTTCCAGCACTAACTTGGAATAGGCTACATTTATTTTAAAGCTATTTTAGAATGATGGACATGAGTATGGCAAGACTGAATGAGCTTCACAGTTCCCATGCTACTGAAATTCTGGAATAAATCAGAACAGTTTATGTTCCCCTAAATCAGGTGGTCAGCAAGACTACCACTGTCTTTTGAAGTCAGCTGTTAAGCCCCCAAGTGATTGTGGCCAAACCAAAAGCATGGAGACACATTAGATGTGTCCCAATTACAATGAATGAATGGAACAGTAGCCTGGCAGGATGCAATGCCCTCTTTCTCACGTCTTCAAAAAAGAAGTTAAAAGCTTTGTTAGTGTTCTGGGCCCAGAGGAAAAATGGAAGTCCAGCATGGCCAGGGCAAGAGGGCAGAATGAAGATGTAGAAGAATATAAAGCCAGAATAGGACAAGTAAGTTTTTCTCTATTAAGGTTGAGACAAGCATGATCTCACCACAGATGTGCCCGGAGAAGACAGGCTTAGCTGCCTATTTTCCTCTCTAGTTTATTACTGTCTTGTGCAACCCAGAAAGCAACAGCGCCTGAAGGGGCCCAGGAGAGCTCGGGGAGAGACTAAACGTGCTCACTCTTCAAGTCCGTGCAACTTCCCTCGTGCTCTTACCTGCGATGTCCCAGAGCTGCAGCCTCACCAGGGTCTTGCTGTCCCAGTGGATGACTTTGAGGGCAAAGTCCACCCCGATGGTGGCCCGGTAGTGCTGTGAGAAGAGCTGGTGCACGTACCGCTTGATGATGCTGGTTTTGCCCACGCCCAGCTCCCCGATCACTAGCACCTTGAAGAGATGCTCCCGGCACTCAGGCACCCTGGCGCCCCCGCCTTCTCCACCAGCCATTCTCACCGCCTCCCCCGTGCCCAGCAGAACCCGCCGCAAACTGCTGCTCCCAGGGGAGCTGCCAGCCGCAGCCCTCGGCAACGCGGAGCCCTGGGGAAGGGAGCCGGGACGCTCGGCCCTGCTTACACGCGCGGGCAGCTTGTTGCAAACTTTCTTCTTGCCCAACTACTTTCTACCGCTTGCAACTCTCTGCCCCGCCCCGGCTCGGGACAGGAATGCAACCACCTGACTGGAGTCACAGGACGCGGAAGCCCGGCGCGTTATAAAACCCCAGGGGGAGGGAGGAGAGTCGTGAGTGGCAGGGGGAGGAGCCCAGGCCCGGCCCGGCCCCTCCCCTCCCCACCCACTCCCCGGCCGGTGTCAGGCGCGGCAAGCGTGTCTGGCTCTGCCCCTGGGCGCTGCGCCGCGTGGTGCCCCATGAGCCTGGGCGAGCTCTGCCCTGTGCTCCCTGCACGCAGGGGGAGCCGGGCTGCCCCCGGCGCTGCCCGAGTCGGTGGGGGGCTGTGAGGAAGGGGCTGCTGGAGGAGAAGGGGGGCTGGGCTGCAGGAGGAGGCGGAGCAGGGACTGGGGCAGAGCCGGGTGCCAACGTGGTGGGGGGACTGGGGTCTATTCTTGGACCAGCGGGTGTGTTCGAGGAGCCAGTCCATGTGCGCACCGGGGTACCGGAGGGCTGGGTGATGGGACGATAAAGCCGGGGACGTTGCAGGAACAGGCCGGTGGGGAGTGTTGATGCGTGGTGGTGCTGCCTTGTGTTGTGTGAAAAGGGGGGCAGCGTTTGGAGTGAAATGGCTGCACCAGGCCCACTAGCACCCTTTTGTAGAGGGGTGTGCGGAACCGTTAAAAAAACATTCCTGAGGCTCCAGTCTGTTCATCAGCACCAGATACATGCCAGTGCCTCTTGGATAGCTCATCAGGGGCCAAGCTAGCCTTTCTTCCCCTCGGCCCCCTTCCAGTCCTGGATCGGATGTAGCTGTGGAGCAGCAAAGATTTACAAGGGCAAGATGTCAAAGCAAAGACTCTAGCGTTTTCCCCTCCTGCCTGTTGACATGCTCTGTGGCCTTGCCCCAGACAGTTCATCTCCTCCATTATCCTCCTCCCTTTGGCAAACAGGCACCCTCGCTTCCCTTTCTCTACCAGCAGTCAAGTTTTCTTCCATTTGGTTTTTCTGGAGAATATTATGGCAAAGGGGTGTTTTGTATAATCAAGTATGAGAGGGGTAGCCGTGTTAGTCTGGATCTGTAAAAAGCGACAAAGAGTCTTGTGGCACCTTATAGACTAACAGACGTATTGGAACATAAGCTTTCGTGGGTGAATACCTACTTCATCAGACGCATGTACAGTCAAGAGGCATTTCTTGCTAGATACCTTTAGATACAAAGGAAATTGGATTTAGTATTAAGCATTTCATAGGGACATCAGCTCATGGGAATAACATAATTTACATCTATTAATAAGCATGGAAGATATAATCCTCTAAAGGGGCTCACACAATAGAGGAATAAATGACATTCCCATTTGTTGATTTCTCATTAAAATGCTTAATTGTAAATCCAGTTCCCCGTGTAACTAAATTTATCCAGAAAAACACACTTCTTGTCATTATAAAACAGCTCTTTGCCATTGCAGAAGCCAGCATTAATTGCATTTGGTTTACCATGGTTCACCTATTTTTAAAAATGTATCTGCTGCTGAACATAATTGAGCAGACACTTGTTAGTGTCTGACATAAAAGTATGACAGGATCCCTGCCCTAAGGACTTTATTATCAATGTGTATAGATAGAACGATGATGCATTCAGTATAGATGGAGGTGGGTGAGAAGAATACTTGGGTGTCAAAACACAAGGATAGAATTGATGTTGGGAGACTGGTTTTATTTTATGCTTTCATGTTAGGTTTTCAGTCATTTGTCATGCTACATTAACTTCCAGAGTTTTCTTTTTTAAAAACGGTATTATAGAATTGTCAGACTGGAGTGGTAATAGGAAGCATCTGAATTCAGATTAGGGGCAGAATGCTAGCCAAAAGGAGGAAACCAAAGCTGGTAGGCACACATGGACAGCAAGGCTGTTCTGGGTGGTGTGGCAGAAGGTGCAGATTCTCCTGTGGGAGGGACAAAAACAGGCATGGGAGTGAGTGGAGTTGGTAGCATCAGACATGCACTGGAATGTATTAATAAGAAGAGCTACACTTACACTGTACTTATCTTGCAGATTGTAGGATTGTTTTCTAAACAAATAAAAAATTAAGACTTACTAAAACCTGTAACAAGATCATCACGCCTTCTTTTCTCAAATTCATGTAATCAAATTCAAATCAGCAGTTTAATATAAAATTTATATAGGGATCAATAAGATTTAACAAGTCTATCAGGCCTGATTCCGCTCTCATGCTGGTTTTACACCTATGTAATTTTATTGACTTCAGTGGTGTTATTTCTGGCTTACAATGATGTAAGTGAGAAGAGAATCAGGCCCACATCAGGACTACTACCAGCAGCCAATGGAGATTTTCCTTTAGCTCCATGGTGGAGCTTCAAAGTACTTCAAGTACTTTGAACTTTAAGTGTCCTGGTTCAAGTTTCACCTGGCATTAAGGTGAAGAGACAAAAAATGAAAGTGGTCCTTCGTTTGACATGCGTAGGTGGTGATACTCAACACAGGTAGAGAATCCCTGAAACTCTGTTGCTGACAACGACAATAACACACTTACCACAATGAAAGGGACAAAGTTACATGAAACCTTTGCAAACACCTCTGTGCACATACATGTGATTAATTACTGGGGTTAATGGTGGGCAAATGATGTGAACAGTGGATTCAATCCACTCACCTGGCTGACATATAAAAGAGTGTGTTGTGGGACAGAAGAATACAAAGAATCCATGGCACCACCCAGAAACTCCTGGCACACAGACAAATAAACCAGGCAGTGAGTTGGCAGCAACTTTTGTGAAGAAGAGTGCAGATATACACATACATGCAGTTACATGGTGTGAATGCAACAACCAAAAACTGAAAGTAAAGCCTGAGAGATAGCCAATAAAGCTTATCTTTCTCCTTCAGTCATTAGGGAATCTGACTAGTTTTAAATATGGGTTTCACATACAGTCAAATATAATGCTCTTTCTTGTGTAGAAAAGGATAGGAACATTTTTAACTTTCCTAGCATTTCCTTATCACCCTTCTGGTCTTCCTCCCTGAAGTCCTCCATACCTTCTCTTTAGAGACACATCACCCTCAGGACTTTCTTCATTCTTTCCTCCTATTTATAAAGGTGGTTATCCTATTAGGGAAGAGAAATCATATCATGTAATTAAGTGAGCAATCACACAACTCAAATAATAAATGGGGCTGTCGATTAATCACAGTTAACTCATGCGATTAACTCAAAAAAATTAATTGTGATTAATCTCAGTTTTAATCGCACTGTTAAGCAACAGAATACCAATTGCAATTTATTAAATATTTTTGATGTTTTCCTACATTTTCAAATATATTGATTTCAATTACAACACAGAATACAAAGTGTACAGTGCTCACTTTCTATTATTATTTTTGATTACAAATATTTGCACTGTAAAAATGATAAGCAAAAGAAAGTATGTTTCAGTTCACCTCATACAAGTCCTGTAGTGCAGTCTATCGTGAAAGTGCAATTTATAAATGTAGATTTTATTTGTTACATCACTGCACTTCAAAACAAAACAATGTAAAATTTTAGAGCCTAGAAGTCCACTCAGTCCTACTTCTTGTTCAGCCAATTGCTAATTCAAACAAGCTTGTTTACATTTGTGGGAGATAATGCTGCCCACTTCTTATTTACAATGTCACATGAAAGTGAGAACAGGCATTCGCATGGCACTTTTGTATCCGGCATAGCAAGGTATTCATGTGCAAGATATGCTAAACATTCATATGCCTCTTCATGCTTTGGCCACCATTCCAGAGGACGCATTTCCATGCTGATGAAGCCTGTTAAAAAAATAATACGTTAATTAAATTTGTGACTGAACTCCTTGGGGGAGAATTTTATGTCTCCTGCTCTGTTTTACCCGCATTCTGCCATATATTTTATGTTATAGCAGTCTTGGATGATGACCCAGCATACGTTGTTCGATTTAACAACACTTTCATTGCAGATCTGACAAAACACAAAGAAGATACCAATGTGAGATTTCTAAAGATAGCTACAGCACTCGACTCAAGGTTTAAGAATCTGAAGTGCCTTCCAAAATCTGGGCGGGATGAGATGTGGAGCATGCTTTCAGAAGTCTTAAAAGAGCAACACTCAGATGCGAAAACAACAGAACCTGAACCACCAAAAAAGAAAATCAACCTTCTTCAGGTTGATTCAGGTAATGAAAATGAAACATGCGTCGGTCCGCACTGCTTTGGATCATTATCGAGCAGAACCCGTCATCAGCATGGACGCATGTCCCCTGGAATGGTGGTTAAAGCATGAAGGGACATATGAATCTTTAGTGCATCTGGCACGTAAATATCTTGTGATGCCGGCTACAACAGTGCCACATGAACACCTGTTCTCACTTTCAGGTGACATTGTAAACAAGAAGTGGGCAGCATTATCTCCTGCAAATGTAAACAAACTTGTTTATCTGAGCGATTAGCTGAAAAAGAAGTAGGACTGAGTGGACTTGGCTCTAAAGCAGGGGTTCTCAAACTTCATTGCACCACAACCCCCCTTCTGACAATAAAGTTACTACATGACCCCTGGGTGGGGGATGGGGGGGTTGGAGCCAGAGCCCTGCTGCTCCGGGTGTGGGGAAAGGGGGCCACAGGCCAAGCCCTGCCACTCTGGGTTGGGGTGAGAGGGGGCTGCATCCCGAGCCCCATTGCCCTGGGTGGGGGTGAAGCTTGGGCTTCAGCTTCAGCCCTGGGTCCCAGCAAGTCTAATGCTGGCCCTTAACGACCCCATTAAAACCCCCACTTTGGGGTCCCGACCCACAGTTTGAGAACCGCTGCTTTAAAGTTTTACATTGTTTTATTTTTGAATGCAGTTATATTTTGTACATAATTCTACATTTGTAAGTTCAATTTTCATGGATAAAGAGATTGCACTATAATACTTGTATAAGGTGACTTGAAAAATACTATTTCTTTTGTTTTTTGCAGTGCAAATATTTGT